TAATGCTTTTTTTTCTACTAGTGCTTCTTAGTTTCATTTATGACATACATGTTTGTGCCAAACAGGAGCATGTCGTCAACGTACAGGCATAATATCACACATTGCGCACCAAACATCTTAGAGTACACACATGCATCACTACCATTGACAACAAAAACAAAACTAAGAATAGTTTTATGAAATTTTTCATACCATTGCTTCGGAGCTTGTTTCAAGCCATACAAGGATTTCTTTAGTCTGCACACCTTATTCTCCATCCCAGGAACTACAAAACCCGGAGGTTGCTCCATGTAGATCTCCTCCTCCAAATCGCCATTCAGAAAAGCTGTCTTAACATCCATCTGATGCACAATCAAGTTGTAAGATAAAGCTAAGGCAAATAAAACACGAATAGTGGCAATTTTAGTCACAGGAGAATAAGTATAAAAATAATCAAGGCCAAATTTTTGAGTGAATCCTCTTATCACCAATCTAGCTTTGAACTTTTCCACGGTGCCGTCGGCTCTCATTTTTCTCTTAAAAATCCACTTGCACCTAATAGCTCTACTCCCTTTTGGCAGGTCCACAAGCTCCCAGGTTCCATTTGACATAATTGAGTCAAGCTCACTGTTTACAGCTTCCTTCCAGAATGTTGCATCTACTGAACTCATAGCTTCTTCAAACGATTTCGGATCTTCATCCACAACCTGTAGACACAGCATGATCTCATTAGATCATCTTCGAACTCACCTAGATTTCCGCACTCTGCTATAAAGGCTGTTAGGAAATCAGGTCCAAAGCTTGTCTCCACTCTTTGCCTTTTACTTCTCCTAGGTTGAATCTCACTTTCAATCCTAGGGGAAGCATCTTCAGGCTCTAAAGATGAAGTAACTAAAGAAACATCGTTAGTAACTAAGTTTTTCTTCAAAGGAAATACATGTTCAAAGAACTCTACATCACGAGATTCAGATATAGAGCGATCTTCCAGACTCATAAACCTGTATGCGGCACTATTCTCAGCATAGCCAATGAATATTGTATCATAGGTCCTAGAACCTATAGTAGAGCGCTTGAACAATGGATAGCCCGCCTTAGCTAGACACCCCCACACTTTCATGTGATTCATGTTTGGGGCATAACCCTTCCATATTTCATATGGAGTCTTGTCTAACTTCTTGTGAGTTACTCTGTTCTGTACATAATTAGCTGATGGAACCGCTTCACCCCACAAACTGTCTGGCAACCCGAAACTTAGGAGCATTGCATTCATCATTTCCTTCAAGGTCCTATTTTTCCTCTCTTCCACACCATTTTGCTGCGAGTATAAGGGGCCGATACTTCGTGAATGATTCCCTCACTTTCACATAAGTCCTTGAGGAAATCGGAGCCATATTCTCCGCCCCTATCTGAGCGAACTCTCTTTATTTTCCGCTCCAACTGATTTTCACCTCTGCCTTATACACAAGAAACTTGGACTCAGCTTCATCCTTTGTCCTTAAAAGATACACCTTGCTATATCTCGAACAATCATCAAGGAAGGTGATATAGTAGCGTTTCCCGCCTCTACTTTCCAAGTTCTTAAAGTCTGCTAAATCTAAATGAATTAGCTCAAGTGGTGTGGTCTCTCTCTTCGTGACAGATTTGTAGGGTTTATTCATGAATTTAGACTCCCCACACACTTCACATTTTTCAAATCCATCTATTGACATATTTGGGAGCAAATTTAAACTTTTCATTTGTTTCAATTTAGTTGCACCAACATGACCCAATCTGCTATGCCATAATTTAAAGGACTCAACAATTTAAGCAGAAGTAGAAATCTTATTCATTGAAGGAACAGTTACAATCTCAAGAACAAATAGGCCCCCACTAAGGTAACCCTTTCCAACATACTCTCCATTACGGGTTAACACAAGTTTATTAGCATCAAAACTAACTTAACTCCTACTTTGTTCAACAAAGCACCAGAAATTAAATTTCTACGAAGAGAAGGAACATACAGCACATTGTGAAGAGCCAAGGTCTTCCCTGAAGTCAGCTTCAGAACCACTTTGCCCTTTCCAAGTACCTAAGAGCTGCTTGAATTTCCCATGAAGACTTGTTCACCTTCCTTTGCATCTTCCATACTAACAAACAGGTCCTTGTTAGCACAGAAGTGTTTAGATGCACCAGTGTCCACGATCCATTCACTGTTGTTCTCAACCAGGTTGACTTCAGAAACAACTGCAGCAATGACATCTTCATCCTCATTCTCAACCAGATGAGCATGACCCTTGTTTCCTCCACTCGATTTCAGATTTTTCTTCTTCTTGTTTTTGCATTGTGAAGCAAAGTGCCCCACTTCACCACATGACCAACACTTGACAGTGAATTTCTTTCCAATCTTGCCCTTAGCTTGGAGATTTCCCTTCTTCTCAGAGCTCCCCTTCTTGGCACGATTATCACATGCTTTCTTGTCAGAGTTGGCACCAGATTCAACAAGGTTAGCCTTGATTGCTAACACATTCTTTGGCTTAGAGGAAACATCCTTAAGCCTGTTGGCTTCCTCAATCTTCATGTGGCACACAAGTTCTTCTAGGGTTAAATCCCTCTTTTTATGCTTGAGGTGATTTCTATAATCAGACCAGGAATCAGGTAATTTTTCAATCAAAACATTAGCCTGAAGGATTTCACACATCTTCATACCCTGAGCAAGAATTTCAGCAACATAGTTTTCATACACATGGACTTGGTCCATAATAGGCTTTGTGTCAACCAATTTGAAATTCAACCAATTTCCAGTCACATACTTCTTTTTCCCAGCATCATCAGCACCATATTTCTTCTCTAAAGACTCCCACATCTCCTTAGCAGATTTCATATTAACATACAAATCAAATATGTTGTTTTTCATGCTGTTCAAAAGATGACCTCTAACAAATTTATTATCACGATCAAATTTCTTGATTTCAGATTCATTAGCAATAACAGTAGTGATCCTTTGACTAGAGATAGATTCTTTATTCCCAGAAACAGGAGTACTAAGAATTTCAATCATGGTATTGGTTTGCTCAATAGGTTTTGGAGCATCCCTAAACAAAACATAATCAATTTCTACTTGTTCAAAAGCAATCAACATCCTTTGTGACCATCTCTTATAATTAATTCCATCAAGAGACTCAACCTTAGACATATCTAGGTATAGACGAGTTTGAGAATTGCTAGTCATGATATCAACAGAATAAATCAAAATATTTCGCTTCTAAATTGTTGGTAAAATAACTGTCGAAATCAATAACTAACAAAAAGATTAAAACTTTCCTGGATTGAAGATCCCAAACTCACAGTCGTGCCGTTGAACAAAATCCACTACCTTAGAAGAGAAATACGCCACCACCGGTACAAGTTTCCTAGTGACGCACGCCCCTCAAGTTTAACGCAACTCTTTCCGTAATCCGTGCACCCGAACTCGAAGAGTGGAATTGCTCAAGAACTGTTCAGATCTCAAAGGGTAGGTTTGTGTTTTCAGCTAGAAAGTGAATCAATCTCATGAAAAGGCAAGACTCGTATTTATATGAGTCCCGAAAAAGGAAACACGCATAACAAACCGACCTAGGAAAAAAGGCGGGCCCGATCGGGCAAGCTGTCGCACGATCAGGCGCGAGATCGAGTTTCTCCAGACGTAGTGTCGCGCCCGGTCGGGCGAACACCGCCCGGTCGGGCGATCTAAAAACCCCATCCCGGTTGAGCCATCGGGCGAAGCCGCCTGATCGGGCTTGTCAAAAACTCGAGTCCGCTGCCCGGTCAGGAGAAGGCCGCCCGATCGGGCGCGAGAGTTCTCGTTAAAAATTCTTGTCCGCCGCCCGGTCGGGCGAAGGCCGCCCGATCGGGCGCGAGAGTTCTCTTAATTTCCTTGATCACCTCCGCCCGATCAGGCGCGAGTCATCCGTTTGCATTACATATTTCCAACACGTACCTGTGTCGTAAAGCCATGTGATTTTTTATTCGTATTGAGATGTGGCACTTGGTCTTGGAGCGTCTAAGCATAACATTTACGGTTTAATCCAAATGTTACTCCCTCCGTTTCATAATTATCTTCCCACTTTGACCAATTTTGTGAGACAAGATTGGTGAGATGATCGATATGAAACATAGGGAGTACTAAATAACATATTTGGGATTTTGGCTCAATCCATCTTAAACATTGTTCTGATTTCATGCATTATGTGTGACCTAGTAGGTCCAGTCAAGAGCTTACTATGAGACTAGTTTTCATTGATCAGAACTGGTCACCAATTTAATATTTCCCACTTGATCACACGTCTCACTAAATAGAACTCAATAATTAGTGAAATAATACATTTAGGAGGTGTTTGGTATAGTAATATTAGATGCATGAAATGGATTCAATTAAGTGTTTCCATTTCTAGTTGTTTGGTATGTGTTAAAAGTAACAAATACCATTTCCTAAGGGTAACAAAATCCCCCAATTTATTACCCTTGACAAACTAGGGGAAACAAAATACGTTTCCTTACTCAATCACAATCTACTCAAATTGTTTCCATTTCATTAGGATACCAAACATATAGTAAAGGTAACGTTTATCATAACCCTTTCCCCTACTTATTTGAATCCCTTCCCTTTCATTAACAATATTTATACCAAACACCCCCTTAGCCTATGGACACATTTCCTTCACGTTGTGCCTAACAATGTATTTCGAAGGGATACGAGTTTGGTTTGGATTAGGTTCAAATTATATGGAGGTTTATTTGGATTCAATTTGGAAGGTTTGGAGTTGTACTTATCATTTCATCAATTATTTTGGGGACACATTAGGTGTCTATAGTGTCTCCCTATTGTAGAGCTCAATGGCAGTAGTTACTTAACCACTGCCATCATATTTCTTGAATGTTGACATTGCTGAACTCACGAGCTACATGTATGGATATACGTTCTATAGAACTTTTCATTGCTATATAATAAGCCCAATTCAAATTTGCAATAAAGAAAATGTATGCAAAATACTAGAATTGCACTCTTTGTGATGTAATTCAAACTTCATTAAATATATTTTTACAATACCATTTAATTTGGAAAGTAGACTTCTGTAGTTTGAGGACACTTGTTTTGGTCATGACCTCTAATCGATGGAGCCTTCCCAACTGAAAAATAGGAGGTCCAGCATGCTCCAATCTATCAGTTCATGTTGAAATTGCTCTCCAAACACCCTTACTATGTACAATAATAGAGACACAAAAGAATTCGGGAAATATGATCAATACAATGAAAATTCATGAATGCCTTTTCTACAACTCAAACCCATGCCCTCTTGACACTTCTACGTCTAAAAGAACACTAGCAAAAGAATATGAGGGGAGGGGGTGCTCATAAAACAATTACAAATGAACATGGAATGTGATTGTACAACCAGAGAGAATAACATAACCCAAATGTAGGTTCCATATAACTGGGCATCGATCGAACATAATTCTCTGCTGCCAACGCACGATAACTGTACACAGGTTGTGACACGGCATCTACTCCTAGACTTCTTATCGAAACAATCGTAGTGATCAAGTGGTCATCTAGCAACTGGAGTCTTGCGTGGGTATTCGTCCTTTTTTGACCAACTATCTTTAACACAACATGCTTTGGCTGACCAATCAATATGACATCCTTCGCCTTCTTTTTCCAATAATAAACAATATCTCCTGAATGTATCTTCGTTTACTTGAAGCCTAAAATCTATGCTAAAGAGTAATTTCATCTCCAACCTGTTTATTTCTGAAGTGCTAATACCTCCAACTTTAGCATAGTATGCATTGTTAAAGGATCTGCAGATCAAGGTAAACTGTATTAATCAACAAGGCAATGCAACTTGCAAAAATATATCTAGATTGTTTCTCATTTCAGCCATAGTTATCATGATCATCTTCAGAAGTTAAATATAATCACAATAACCAATCTATAAGACAATACTTATGATAAGACATATCCGGCAGGAGAAATGAATGAAATCATAGTAGGCAACATTATATAGCATAGAATTATAAGGTTAATTTTTAAATTACCACCAAAAAATATATCCATTTTCAAAATAACCACCCGTTAAATTTTTTATTTTATTTTACCACCCCTTAAATTCAAAATCTACTCATTTCAAAATTCCGGTGAATTTTTCTTATGTAGGCCCCACCCAACGACTCTTAGTGGTGACCAGAAGAAGATGATTAGTAGTAGTGGCAATTCAGCCAACAAGTTCTTATTTTTTTTTTTAGTTGTTTTATTTTGGTTTTAGGTTGTCTTGTACTCAATAAACTGGTTGAATGGGAGGTGGAGTAAAGACAGGGTTGATTGTAATGCTTAGACATAGGCATTTCTAGCCGTTGGGTGGATCCACATAACAGAAATACACCAAAATTTTTAAATGGGTGGTAATCTGAGTAGTTTTTTTAATTTAAGGGGTGGTAAAATAAAAATAAAAATTAAACGGGTAGTTATTTTGAAAATGGATACATTTTTGGGCGGTAAGTTAAAAAATTTACGATTTATAATTATGAGATTTGAATGAAATTATATTAAAAAATCGGTGCGTTATAAGAATAATTGAGATGAAACTAGCATAAAAAATTCTTGTATGACTAGAGAACTTGTAATTTTCATTTTCATATGGATACATAACCTAACAGCCACCCCACACCCCTGCCAACTAAAGCAGGTGGAAAAGAGAAACCCATCAATCTGCAATATCATTACCATTGGAGAATCACCTGTGACTCTAATAGAGCAGTTGAAAATTGCAAGAATTAATAGAGAGCTTGATCAGCTTTGACTAAACTTGTTATAGCAGAAGATGGATCAAGGACGCATTTACCAGGGTAAAGCTAAAAAAAGGCACTATACCAAATCAATATCTCATTAAATATATATCTCCTACATAATCATGATTAGGTCCATAAGAAGGTAACTGGAGCAGACAGAACATACTCCTCCCCTATATTATTATTATGGGCTGTTAGTTTCCTGAACTACAAGTGATGGTAAGGCAGTTATGTAAGAATTATCCATAAATAACTTATACTTCCTCCATCCGTTCTTTTCATAATTGAAACAAAGGCAAGATAATGTTTCCCAAAGCACAATTTTAATCTTAAACATCTCTATATCTGTAAACAAATTGATATTTTGAACATCAAGACGAATTTAATAAGATCCTTGTTCCCAGATGACTTTTTTTCTTCACATATAAATCACAACATATAGTAAAAAGAGTGTGAATAGTACAACATTGTTGCTGTAATAAAAGAATGGAGGAAGTATTTGGAAAACAGAAATATCAAAGCAAGCATTTAGGATGCTGTAGCCTGTGGAAAGAATTAGAAGTTAGAAAGTATCATGCTACACTTAAAAGAGGAGTATTATTTAAATAGATGTCTCACGTCATTTGTCAAAAAGAATTATTTGAGAATGGGCAGGTGGAAGCTTTAGTAAAGCAGCATTGCCCCTTGACCCCTTCCATGATAAGTTTTTAGACCATTTCTGACTGTATGAGCACATCAAAGGGTTCGGAAAGGTTTAATCAATAAGAATATAGGTCATTAGGTTGTGTGATATTTTTGCTCCCTCAACTCCTATTATGTAGTTGGAACTTTTTTTTTTTCCCGTCACCTCAGTTATCTGCTTCTCAATATTTTAAGTGTGTATTGTAACTAAAGCCCTATAATAAGCAAGGGATGGAGTATTGTGAGCAGTACTAGGTAGCTATAGTACTAGGTAGCTATCTGGTAGTTATCTGCAAATAAAGATGATATACTATTGGCACACGTGACACATCCTGAAAGAAATTGCAGGATTTAATGTCATGTTTTAAAACTTCCCTCTTCTTGTTCTTTGGTAAGTTTTAAGACAAATAAATTGAGAAGAGTGTGGCATGAAGGCCAAGAGCTGATGAGACATGAACAGGAATATGGATTTGGATTAATCCAATTAGAAAGTGAAAAGGGAAACATTGCTCTGCATGGATGAATAATTTAAGATAGTGCCTAATCATTTAAGAAAAGAATACAAATCTACCTTAAAGGAGAGCTGGTCTCTAAAAACATGAACTAAAAATAGATCCACAACTAATTTCAGACAAATTCAGTACACATCATCCTATACAGAAGAATTATGAGTGCTTAAGGAAAATATAAAAAATACTCGTAAAAGACAGTTACTTATACTTGAGTAATATTCACAATATAGTACATACTGCTAAACTTGCTTGAGTAATATTCACAAAAACCTAACCCACTTTAGCAGAATTTCAAATGTGGTACGCACAACAAAAATGTGCCGTGTGGCTATGTCTAGAGGCTTTAGATCACATTCCTTCCATGTGCGTTTTCTAAAACTAGTCTGTCAAAGATACATCTTTCTAATTTAGGTTGTGTTAAAAGTTCTCTGCTAGAATTTCCTATCAAGGTCAAAGGTCCTTCGTGGTTTTAACAATCTTTTGGAGCTGTTGTGGGATCCATCACCTATGTGATGTGAGAACCCATAAATAGTAGGATCGCAGAAATGAGACCTTCACTTAAACAGTCACAAGGAAGATTTAATTCAATGTGTTTGTTAGTCACTTTTTTTTTTTAACCGAAACAACTACTCCAAACCACTATATCTACGCGATTAACTCTCTTAATTGATTGTCCACATTACATGATTATATTACCAGCCTACTGTACAGAAGTGACAGTTGTCTCCGATCACAATAATGCACTTTGCTAGGATGTATTTCCGTATGATGCAACACAAAGTTTTGGATGTATGACAGACATTAATTCATAAGAGTGGTGCAGTACTTACGCGTCGTCAACAAATTTTGCAGCCACCATAAGACTAGTAACTAGAAGCCGGTGGATGTTGAGAGAAGTTAAGTAAGTCTTTGTTTGTTGGAGGTATCTATCCACATAAATGTATGCCACGATGAAACAGGATGGACTACACCCTGCATACTTGAACATTCGGTCAAAATACTGTTGTATGCTGACAGGTGGGGCTCTTAAACCATGAAATACAGTAAGGACATCATCAATTTGTGCTGTCTCCAACAATGTTTCATTCTTTTGGACAGAATTGTCGAGAAGAGAAGATAGAAGTGACAAGAATCTCGGTGTTCTCAATGATCCTTTTCCATTTTCTTTCAGACCCAATTTAAAATAAGTATCTGATCCAACATCATCAGCATCAAAGGCCAGTGCTCCCATTTTGAGGCATAGCTGCATTGATTAAAAGAAGAATGTAAGAAAACCATATAAAGAACTTAATGTTACCATCATAGTCTAAATTAAGCATCAAAAGAAACCCTGACTCGTACATGGCACTATATATATATATATATATATATATATATATATATATATATATATATATATATATATATATATATATATATATATATATATATATATATATACTTTTCCCTTAAACTAGAAGATATTGCTGATCCTTAGAGAAAGCATTAAATAAATATTCAATTAATAAGAAAGACCATTTATTGAAGTACAAATCATTGAATAAACAATTTGAGCTTCATTTTACTTTAGGGCACAATTAGATTATGAAATTTAAGTTTATGAAATCTAGACTCCAAAATATTCAATTTCATAAGATCATTTTAGTGAGCTTTACTGCCTATTTTTTAGGAAAAAATCGATCATGTCCAACACAATCAATCAATTAATCAAAGCCATAATTCCATAAGTGGGGTCAAATCCCCAATCCAAAGGACCAAAATTTAATGAACAGGCATAACTAATTAGCTAGTAGTTCAATGTTAAGTTAGCTTAAATATGATGCAGTAACGTTGATTCCTTGAGTTCTGGAAGACCAATTATAGTAAGTTTTCTAGTTGGTACAACGCCAGGTGCAATTTAGTTGGTTCTCAACTATACAATGTTGATGCTGGGTCATACCCTCTATAACCTTTAGCTGATTCTTCCTAACAAAAACCATGATTTAGAGTGGTGACGGGTACACGCCTTGGTTGATTTATTCTACTTCATGCACATATCAGTCAAGTTGTTTTTTTAGTTACAGCTACCATATAGTTAAGGCTAGTAGTACGAAATAACATATCAACAACCATAAAAAACCCAGTGCGGCCATTTTACAGATACCAAAGGGGCATTTGACGGCTGTCACGAAGAATTTTGAGACTACTTAATATGTGCAGCCACCTGAATTACTATAGATAAGCTAGATATGGTAATTCAGACCCGCAGCAATAATTACATCAGGGTTTTGAGCTACAAAATACGGCACATAGCCGCATAGTACCAATCTATAGCAGATCCAAAATGAGGCAGAAACTACATTGGGGGATCAAGTTACAAATAACAGTAAACACTAGCCCATATTCATATTACCTTCACTTTTTTTGAAGTGTATTGAACAGACTTTTGGAAAGAATTTGATTCAGTGATATCTAAACTACTTCTTTGTTCCATAAAGGATGTGATGCTCTTCATGACTAACCCGAGATAAAAACAGGTTTGTGTTTTTTATTCAGCAATGTTGGTTAGCGGACCCCACTTATGGAACTTAGGCGTTCAACCATAAGATGAATAACTAAGCTAATCAGCATGTAGATAGAAAAGAAGCCTTAGTTAATCAATTTGATAGTAAACAGAATTTGTTTATCAAATGGCAAAATGGTAAATAAAACAATATAAATGTCTGTAATCATGGTATTTTTCCGTAAATATATCGACGTGGGACCATATTTAATTTATTTACAATTTGATAAATTTTATCAATTTGTTTATCATATTCATAAATTTGTATTTTCTCGTAGATAATAAGCAAATATTAATATAATCACCGAATTAATCAAGAAATCAACTGACTTAACAACAATCACCCAAAATCCAAGACAAATTACACATTTCATTCAGCATAACAAGAATCAACAACTACTAATTCAAAACCCCATTATAAATAAAAAATATAAAACCAGCGTATGCTATTTCAGAAATATTCGAACAATTTTCAAAAATTAATTTTGAAGATACACATTAATCTCCCATAATTTCTAAATAATAAAACACTACTTCTATAAATATATTGAACCACGTCAGAAAATAAAACAGATAAACACGACAAATTATCACCCAAAAACACCGACAGTTAGATAAACAAAAGAAAGTACAAAAAAGGAAATATTTGAATGCTATAAAAAAACAAAAGATTCGACCCATTTGAACTTACGGATTCAGTAGAAATTCGGGTATCAGACAGAGGAATTTGCAGCGGCATTGTGGGGTAATGGCAGAATTAGAAAGAAATGAAGATAATGAAATCAGGAAGAAAAAAGAGAAAGAATCAGGGAGTTTCCATGATTCTTGAAAAGCGTATTTAATGTGTAAATTAGTGAATTAATTTCACCAGCAAGAGAGAGAAAGAGAGAGAGGAGAGAGAAAATAGTAGTGATAATCACTCTCCTGATCTCCTCTCTTTCTCTTGGATGTGGATGTGGATGTGAGCTGGGACACTTTACCAGAAAGAGAGGGAATAAGATAGAGAAACAATGCTATCTTTTATTTTATTTTATTTTTTTTAATTTTAATAATTTTAATAATGTATTGTAATTCCACCGCATTTTCCTCAGTTGCATCTTCTTCATCGCTATTACCGACTATCTTTTTGTCCACTTTCCTGCCTTTATTTTGTCTGCATTTTTTAAGGTTTTTTTTTTTCTTTGATAAAAATCAAAGATATACAACATCCTCTACTGTTCTACTCCTCGTATGTTATTACTCTTTCTATCCCTATTGTTTTGTCCCATAGCTGATTTTTGAATCAACTTTAAATAACTTTGACGGTAAATTCCCAGTATAAGAGATAATATAGTTAAGTGAGATCTTGTTGGATTCGTCGAATTATATATTCTTTTAATATCAAATTTTTATAATTTTTGCACCTATAGATCTTGAGATACATATATTTTAACATGCGTTTCGAAAACCGTGAAAAGTCCAATGGAGCAACAAAAAAAAAAAGGGAGTACTTGATCTACATATGTTTTGTAATCATATTACTTGCTTTATTTTTCTTTTTTGAAAAATTTTACTTATAACAATATTTTATTATTTATCTCCCCATTAATTATCACATTATATCATATTTAATATTTTTCATATTCTCTGTGCTACCCACGCATTCTCACTTTTTTATTTCTTTTTGACAAGAAGATTTAAGAAAAAGAACACACTGACACAAAAACTAAAAAGACGAAAAATGGAAATGCCTATGACGAGCCCGAACAGCCAACCAGTGAGCCGGAAAAATCCATTTTCTTGGAACCTTACGGATAATGCAAACCGAAAAATGCAAGAGAAAACCGTGAATATTCTAAAGTAACCATAAACATGAGATATCCCCATTCCTATTAAGACGGAGGGAACCCCACTTTAATCATAATATAATACAATTACTTTCCATTATTTTTCCTAAAACTCCATATTCGGAGAAATAGAGTAAGTACTCCATCCGTTTTTTTATTTACATCATTTTCCTTTTAAGAATGTTTTTTTTTAATTGCATCACTTCTATATATAGTTGTCTTCACTCAAAACAAATAGATCTGGTCTGAATTTTTTATGGTCTGATCTGAATTTTTCTGACCTGGTCTTGTTTGATCTGATTTAACAATTTAAATAAACTTTGACCGCATTTTAATAATAATGTATAAAGAAAAACATTATTAAAATAGATCTTGTTAGATTCGTCTCATCATGAGTCTTTTAAATATGTATTTTTATAAAAAAAAAAAATTAATACCTAATTAACTATACTTAACAATAAGTAAATGGTAATCAAAATTTCTAATCTGGTCTGATATGAATCTTTCTGATCTGGTCTCATCTGATCTGAACTTATTAAGGAATAAGCAATAAGTATCCGAAATAAGTTGAAAAGAACAAGTCATATATTTTATTTTCTCTCTCTTGCTTTAAACCTCACTCAAATAATTTATCATTTCTCTCTCTTATGGTCCCTACTACTCTCTCACACATACTTTTACTTTCATGGTACCTGTTTAGGGTAATTTTACCCCGCCACGTGATCCAATCAGAGGATGACACGTGTCAACCCCAAGATGGCCCAATGTGGACCTAACCCTACTTGACACGTGTCACTCCAGAAACCTGGGAGAAATGGCGGCCTTCAGGCCCAAATCCCAAGAAAGCCGCAATGTGGCGCAGCCCACCAATGATTAGGGTTCAGTGACCTAATCAGGGGCACAAATCCCAAGAACCCTATAAATAGGGAGATTCCCCTCTTTTGGGGGACACGTTTTCACATTCTACCATTTATTACAAGCTGTCCCTGTGATAGAGACATATGAGCTTGGAATCCGAGCAAAGACCCACCTAAATTTCCACACCTTTTTCTCTCCCTTCAAGTTACTAACTTGTGCGTCGGAGGCGGAGCACCAACCAACCAGTGTCTCCGTTTGTTTTGTAGGTACAGCTCCCGCCGAATCAGTCTTCGCGTTGTAATTCTCCCAAGGGACAAAAACACCCAAAACATTTGGCGCCGTCTGTGGGGAGAGTACCTCGAAGATAGTTCAAAAGTCTGTACCCCCTAACCGTCTGGGCGATGACCCAGAAGTCTATACAAACCAGGAGGATGAAGATCCCCAGGTCGAAACCTTTACAGCCGATGATGGCTCTCTCAAAATCAAGCGCATTCGGCCCAGAGACTCTCTAGAGCGGGGTGCCTCCCAGGCGGGTGCAAATCGACCCCCTGGGCAGCCGGAAGGGGAAACCATACGGCAGCTGGATCAGCACCTGTCACCCAAGACGAACTCATGAGATTCATGACAAGTTTCAAGGGTGAAATTAAAGAACTAATCAGTCAGAGTCGGGCTGGCCCAAGTAGGGATCAGACGGCCAAGAAGACTCCTCTGGAAAAGGGAAGTCAGTCAAAGATCGGCAGGCAACTCCTCATCCAAAGGAGAAGGCAGCCGGGACCATTGATTGGTCCAAAATTCTTTTTCCCAAGAGGAATACCAATAATACCCGCCGGACTCAACAGCCGGTGGGAAGTAAAAAATCAACTCTTGATGCCCGGGAAATCATCAACCGGAAGAGAAATCAGCAGCTGTCTGAGTCGGCTTCCACGTCGAACTTTCCTGACAGCTTCAACAACACCTCTGCAGGGAATGAACTCTCCCTTCATGAGAGTCAAACAGGCGGAAATACCGTCCATTCTGGCCCTCAGATGATTGGAACTGTACCGTATGTACCTACTCAGGTCTACGGTCAGTATCCCCCTCACTTCATGCAGCCGGCTCTCTTCGGAGGTCAGGCGGCATATCAAAATGTCCAGCCACTAGACTGGCAGCTCCGTCAGGGTGAACAACCTTTTGCGTTCACCCGGGAGATAACTGAGGCTGCACAGCCGGCCAAGGTTAAGAATGTATTGGTAGGTACCTATGATGGTACCACCAATTCGGAAGATCACCTCATGGCATACACCAACCTCATGTTACTTACATGGGTTGGATGATGCCACTTGGTGTCGATGCTTCCCGGCTACATTGAAGGGCATTGCCCAACAATGGTTTGGCAACTTGCCAGCCGGGTCCATTGACAGTTTCAGGAAGCTCGTCTTCCTGTTTGCTTTCAACTTCTCAATGAACATCCCTGCTAAGAAAACAAGTCTTGACTTGAGCACCGTTAAGCAGGGAGAGAGAGAAGGTTTGCGCTCCTATGTCAGGCAGTTCAATCTTATCAGAATTCAGATTCAAGGACTGTCTGATGAGGTTGCTTTTACAGACTTTTTTAAGGGTCTGAGAGACGGGTCGACCTTTAAGTTCGACCTAGTCAGAAAAGGGGCCTTCACTTTACAGGCGGCCCTAAGAAAGGCGAAAAGCTATATTCAAGCAACCGACCTCTGCTCGCCTGGTAACCAGTCGGGCTCTAAGAAGTCCGACAAGCAGAAAGATAGCAGGCCTGCTCAGCCGGCCAAAAATAAAGAAGAGAGCAAGAAAAGAAAAGAAATCTGGGCGGTTAATGACTCTGACCATCCGTCCTAGAAGAAAAATAAAGAGTTTAAACTGTATGTCCCAAAGTACGAGTTTAACAAGGACCGCAACTTGTAGACACCCATTTGTGTCTCCCCAAAACCAAACCCAGTGATGAGTGCCTTTCACGTTGAATCATAATCGAATGAAACGAAAGTGTGGAAAGGTCTAGTGTTGCGGAAAGTTTTATTTCTTTTCTTTTCTCTTCTCCCTGTTTTTGAAAACTTTATTTTTAAGAAAACAACCAATCCAGTTTGGTTGGTCCATGATATGGGTCCAATAGTGGTGTAGTTGGATGGGGTTTGCAAGGACCTTTCCAACGATATATTATAAGCCCAATTCCAATGAATATTGAGGAATTTATGGCCAATTTACTAAACTGGGCCCGGTTCGAGCTTTAAGTACGACCCAATGATCTATGGGAGGGCCTAATATGATTTATCATTCCTAATGTAATTAGGAATAGTTTTAGTCTTCTAGAATCTTCTAGAAGGTCTTATAATTCTTAATTCAATTAGGATTCTTTAGAGTTTTAATCAAGATCAAATAGCATTTTCGACTGAAATTATATTATTTTATCTTCTAGTACGGGAAATTTATCAGATTTTCGAAAATGCGTTGAAATCCAAATTGGCGTCCAACCCCAGGCCTTGGCGCCTGGAATCAGGATTGGCGCCTGGCGCTAGCCACTGGTCCTGGCGCCAATGAGCCAGGGCTGGCGCCAAGTTAGTTTTGTGGTCTTCAGACTCTGTTTTGATAAATTATCTTTTTTGGATGATTTTATCTATAAATATCGTATCAAAAACTCCGGTTTCATTCATCAACAATCACTTTATGAATTACCAATAATCAAAATTATTCATCAACTCTCTCTTCATCTACATCATTCATTCATCAATTTTCAATAACATTAATCTTTTAGCATTCTGTTCTAAACTTTACTTTTTTCATACAAAATTCTGCATTCACAAGATCTTGAAACACCTAGCCATATTCGAATTTGCCTTCGCCCTAGACGTGAAAGGTTTTAATTTCTGAGGGTTTGGTTCCAAATCTTTCTTTCAATTATTTAATTTAATTGTTTGTTTATTATTTTTCCTTAAAGTTACTAACGCGTGTATTTTGTAATTAGAAAAAGGTACGAGGCATCCAAGTAAGTAATTTGATGGTTTAATTGATTTTATGATGTAGATATCATGCTTAGATTGTTCTTTTGATGATTCCTAGTATCATGTCTAGGGTATCTTTAATATTAAGTATGATTAAAAGTATGATGCTTCCAATCCTCTTCCTAATATTTATGATTATTAATGATGATGATTATTATTATGTTGCTTGATATGCATATTATTATTGTTATTGCTTGATCACCTTTTATTGCATGTTAAAGGGAATTGGTATTTGCAATCACGCTTAATAAGATAATTTAATAATCTTGTTAGGTTAATTGTGATTATAATTCAAGTGATCGCCAATAATAGTTTATTTGTGCATTAATATTCAACCAACATAGATTAAACAGGTTTAGGGTTAATCTATTGATTGTATGTTAGTCAGAAAGCGCACATGAATACGAGCAGAATAAAGTAGAGGCCTATTATTAGGGCAGGTTCGATCTCTTTTAGGTTGGATTTGTACCATCAATCCGGAACCCTTATTTGGTTCATGACCTTATGGAGTTGGCGATCTCTTGGATCGTTAAGGGGTGTAACCTTCACCTCGTGAACGGTTTACAAGTTCCT